CCCCCAAGGACTTTAGGCCATTCAGTATTTCCTCGTTTCTGCTGAAGACGTTGGAGAGGCTGGTTGATATGCACATAAGTAGCATGATTCCTCGGGATCGCCTGTCTAGAGCTCAGCATGCTTATTGTAAAGGACGGTCAGTCGATACTGCTCTGCATACAATTGTGAGGTGTATAGAGGAAGCCTTCACTCACAAGGACTTTGCCGTAGGAGCCTTCCTCGATATCGAGGAGACTTTTAATAATGTCCTGCCGGACGCAATAGTTAAGTCGCTAGATAAGATTGGGGTTGAGGTCGGTCTCATTAGGCTCATCGAAAACTTGCTGCGTGACAGAACTGTCATGGCCGTCTGGGGCAGCGCCTGCTTGTCTCGCATGGTGAGCAGGGGTTCTCTCAAACCTTCTCTGGGTCGTCGTGGTGAATGAGCTTCTAGTGGAGCTGGGGAAACACGGCTGTCGGGTAATTGCCTATGCAGACGATGTGGCGCTCCTAGTTAAAGGTCACTGTCTTCCGAATAAATGCCATGGTGGCATAGCAAAAACTCTGGAGCGGTTAAGACTTAACCTATACTGGTCGAATATGACCGTCGATGTGAAGAACTACGTAGCAAAATGCGCGATTTGTCGACAGAGGAAAGCCACAAATGTTAGATTACGACCCCCCATGTCAGCCCAATACACCGTCCAACGTCCGTTTCAAAAACTGAATATTGATTTAATTGGTCCTTATCCTCGATCTAGAGAAGGAAATACTGGTATTTTGATTGTACTCGATCATCTGACCAAATTCCCATTGCTAAAAGCCATGCGTAATTTTAATACCTCATCTATTTGTCACTTTTTAAAAAACCATGTTATCAGCGTTTTCGGTACCCCTGAAATAATTTTTATCGACAATGGCAAGCAGTTTAAATCACACGAGTTTAGTAGCCTCTTGTCTGATCGCGGTATAAAACACGTTTTTACTGCTCTTTACAGTCCTCAACCAAACGCCAGCGAGCGAGTGAATCGATCGATTATAGCAAGCATTAGGTCCTATTTGAAAGGCGACCAAACTCATTGGGACAGGCACCTGTCAGACATCGCAGAATTACTTCGAGGTTCCATTCACCAAACCATTGGATGTTCACCATACTTCGCGTTGTTTGGACAACAAATGCTATCTCACGCTGATAAATATGAACTCTTGCTAAGGTTAGAAACGCTTGATGAAAACGTTTTGGACAGAACTGACAAACAAAAGCTTATACGAAAATCAGTCATCAACAACATAAAAACCGCATTTGAAAACTCCGATAAGCGTTACATTTTTTTTATTTCCTGTACGCTCTAGCACCCTGCATTGCTTATTAAACATAGCTGCTGGTGAAGTTCCTTCCAAGCACTTCCCCGATCATATGATTGTAGATAACGATATATCGATAAGTTTTACAATCGTTTCTAGCTTAGGAGCTATTTCCGCACAACCTTTTCTTTCTTTTATCGTGGAACCGTAATCCCGACGACACGTGCCTAGTTAAAAAAAATAAGTTTAATTTTGCCAAACTAATAAAAAGTAGTGGTGTGTATACACATATAGGTATGCAGTTACCCCTTGGAGGAAGACCCTATCCTGAAAAACATCTGAATTGGTAAGATATTACAGATTTTAAATTGTTATCTAGTGCCGAAATTCGCAAGTACACCCAAAAACTAATGCTACCCGGTTTTACTTAGAAACTGCGAGCGCGACGAAATAAGTTGCGGCTCTTTTGTGTTTTCGCCGGACCTGGTGTGCTGTCCAAATCTCGCCAAATCCACGCAAAACCCACGCAACGCATACTCAACTGCGAAGAAGAAAAAGTACCAAGTAGTCAGAAGGAAGAATATTTAACGTCCATCACCAACTGCTTCTGCCGGTGCCTCCCACCTCTGCAACTACGTACATAACTAAGTATTTGTAACCCACACATTTTAAGCTATGCAAACTCCTATAAAACCGTATGGGATTTAATTAAAAACACGCTCCAAAGAAGTTCATTTTGTAATTTGGCCAACCCGTTTGGGTGTAGGCCAGGTTTTGACCTGTAAGCGAAACAGAAATTCATTTAATAAGTTTAGAAATCTTTCCCGCTTAAGTTCGAGTATTATCCACTCGTTAATGGTTTAGAATTCGCATAGCAGAGCTGAAACGCGGAAACTGAATAAATTAGCCTTCAGAAACTTAATTGAATTAAAAAAAAAACATTTACTAATCCTCGAAATACTTACCTTAAGCCATTCTTACACAACTGATATCCAGACATCCAACATAATAATTGATATTGGAATGGAATTATAATTGTAATACTCTCGTATTCAATGTAACTAGCTTCATAAGTTATTTCCTTACCTTTTATACTTTTATTTGTTTTTTTTTTTTCATATATAAACGGTGTACACACTTATGCGCATAACTATATGTTAACTATATATGTACATAAGTAAGTACTTTCCGTTGGCACCACGTGGTGAATCCACATGGACCACTAAGCTAACTCAACAATAGTGTCACATTTTGCTCAACTTCTTGTATGCTCATACGCCCTCCTTCCTACCCGAAAATTAGGCAATTCCGTACTGTAATTAAGTCGGAGAGAGTTGAGTTTATTTCTTTTAAAGTTTTTATCGTTTTGTTTGTTTAAATAAGCGCCAAATGAGCGCCTGTTTGCGTTTTGGTAGTTTAACTACTATCGCTAGCGCTAAGCCTACAGTAGGCGATCAAATAACAGGGCAACCTTAGGCTGCCCAATACTTGCTGTGAACTTACAAAAAAAAGCCTTTTATAGATATACATATGTACGTATACAAGGAACAAAAGAGGAATTAAACAATTTTCAGCGGCAACAACAACAAAGCAAAGGAGGCCTTCTTCGCTTCGCGGGACTGCGTTCCCATCAAAAGTGAGTTCATATTGGTTCCTATTTTATTATACATCACTGTTTTTTTCATTTGCTCTAAATACATATGTGCGTATATATGTAAGCAGGTGCTTAAGGAGATTTGATGTTGTTTCTTTCTGAATCTATTTGGAGAAATCTCACAAACCGCTGTACATATATACATATGTGCATCGATGTTGTTCTCCTTGGCGTGGGGATGAGGCTTAAGTGGTGACATTGGGGCCTTTAGGGGCTTCTATATCAGCATGAACTAAGAGGGAGGCTCCGCATGAGAACCTGCGTAAGACACGAGTTTACACAGTTTCCTATGTGGAGATTACCGTACCGACGATTACTCCTGCCCTCATCCCTCCTTATTTCTCCTATCCCAACAACCCAACTCCTCCCAACTAAGCCAGGGTGTTATGCGAGACCGTGTCCATTGGATGGTTTGCATCCAGGGGGTTTACCAGACCGGCTCAGGGAGTAAAGGTGGCCTTGCCACGGCATGGGGCGCTGCCGTGGTGGACCGTTAATTTCCCCTTACATTGCTTAGACCACCGTACGAACCAGATGAATACAAACCAAAACAAAGAAAAACAAAAACTAAAACTTCGAGCAGAGGAGGATCGTCGGAGCCGGAATCCAAAGCTGTCTCCACCCCGGTTGGGGATTCTGAGGAGGCGAAGGCATCTCCGGCTAAGGCCACGAGCGGGGCCTGCACGGCCAGCGCCGTAGGGAAACCGGAGCAGGCTAGCGACAAAGCTTCGAGCAGCGGTGGATCGAAATCGATACCTGCAGAGGCGAAATCGCGCTGCGTTAAGGGCCTAAGCAGGACCTTCACGGCCGGTGCCTCAGGGGGGTCGAAGCCAGCTCCTTCTGGTACTAATGGCATCATACCTGCGCAGCTGCAAAAGGCGGCGGAGGTGTCGTGCCGTTGGTTGGCCCCAATCTACGCGAGCTGCGTTAGATACGGGTACATTCCCGGGGGTTGGAGGGTCGTCAAGGTGGTGTTCATCCCGAAGGCCGGAAGGAGCTCTCATGTTGCCCCCAAGGACTTTAGGCCATTCAGTATTTCCTCGTTTCTGCTGAAGACGTTGGAGAGGCTGGTTGATATGCACATAAGTAGCATGATTCCTCGGGATCGCCTGTCTAGAGCTCAGCATGCTTATTGTAAAGGACGGTCAGTCGATACTGCTCTGCATACAATTGTGAGGTGTATAGAGGAAGCCTTCACTCACAAGGACTTTGCCGTAGGAGCCTTCCTCGATATCGAGGAGACTTTTAATAATGTCCTGCCGGACGCAATAGTTAAGTCGCTAGATAAGATTGGGGTTGAGGTCGGTCTCATTAGGCTCATCGAAAACTTGCTGCGTGACAGAACTGTCATGGCCGTCTGGGGCAGCGCCTGCTTGTCTCGCATGGTGAGCAGGGGTTCTCTCAAACCTTCTCTGGGTCGTCGTGGTGAATGAGCTTCTAGTGGAGCTGGGGAAACACGGCTGTCGGGTAATTGCCTATGCAGACGATGTGGCGCTCCTAGTTAAAGGTCACTGTCTTCCGAATAAATGCCATGGTGGCATAGCAAAAACTCTGGAGCGGTTAAGACTTAACCTATACTGGTCGAATATGACCGTCGATGTGAAGAACTACGTAGCAAAATGCGCGATTTGTCGACAGAGGAAAGCCACAAATGTTAGATTACGACCCCCC